TGCGACACGGGGAGCCAGCCCCGCCGCACACGTGTCAGCCTGTCCTCGTGCCAGACGGTTACAGCACGGGGGTCACCGGTTAACCAGCGCCATTGACACCGTGTGAGGCGCGGCGCGGCGCTCAGCAACTAGAGCTGTGGTGGCTCCTGTGGGCGAGCGATGCCGTGTTGAACACGTTACTGTGTTAAACAGTTAACTAGTTGTGTTACTGTATTAAATGGTTCATTATAGTAAACATGTTATCGTGTGAATTAACTAACACCGTGTTAAGCGGCTAACTACCACGATTAGCTCACGCCGTGTTAAGTGTTACCGAATTCGACAGTAAGCTAACCGAGTTAACGCGCACCGTGTTTAGCGGTTACTAGCGCGGTTAACGAACCCCGCGTGTTAAACGTGACCTTGCGGTAGCAAGACCACGGGGAAGGGGAAGTGGAAGTGTTGGCTGGGGGGGGCTGGCGGCCGAGAGACTGGGTAGCTGTTACGCAGCTCTGCCTTGCCTGCCTGCCGTGCCTGGGTAGACCTGGGCTGGGACGGACCGAACGCCTACGCAGGTATACAGGGGAAGGAGGTGCTCCCATTTGGGAGCACGCATCATCTGATCCGGTGTAAGCTTTCTGTCTGCCCTCTCCTAACCCACAGTAAGTGAAGTGACTGCAGTCGCTTTTCCCTGCCTGAAATGGGGGGTGGAAAAAACACTGCATTGGCCCGGGCAGCCCGCGGGGGTGGCTTATGGCCGATGCGGGAGGGACAAGCAGCACAGTGGCAGATAGGGCAAGAGGCAGAAAGCAGAGCAGTAGATGGGGCAGAGAGCACAGGGAGGAAGGCAGAAAGCAGAGCAGCAGATGAGGCAGGGGAAGGGGATGGGAGTGGCACTCGGAGAGGACGCAGGGCTAGATTGTGGCACGCCTGCCAAAAGGGTCAGCCCCGTTCTTATGTCACACGCCAGTGAAGCCAAACCCATTGAAATGTAGCAGTGTCCTCCCTTCCCCAGGGAGTCATCACAGTGTGCACACGCTGCCTCAGCGGTCCATCTTCACACAAGGAAAAGATCGATCCTGAGCAGTCATTTCTGCCCCAGTCTTACAAGCTGCAGTCCCGCAGGCCAGACCCTCGTACCTGAGTAGGGCCCTGCCGACTCGGGCAGTCTCGTGTAGGTCTGCAAGGCTTCTCACGTGTTGCTCGTTGCGGGTCCGGGTTGTCCGTCATAACCAAATGAACAAATCCTTTTTTCAATCTCAAATGCCACTGGCAGCAGAACTGAAAGTTTGTTTTCTTGACACACTGTTTTTAGAAATTGTAGAAGAGAAAAAAAAAAGGTGGGTTTTGATTTCAAGCGCGTGGAAATTCAAACAACGGTTTCAATGATAATAGACAAAAGCAAGGGAGTGTGAAAATGAGACTCCTGCTTTATATTTAATTTACAGCTGGGTAATAGGCTACACGTACACGATCTTATCTGCTCTTCACAACAGCAGAGAACCTGACCACGATGGGTAAATTCCATAGCAAAGCTTAAGGAACAAACAATATAAGGACATGGTTAAAAAAAGAGTTAACAATTAGTTATGTGATACATTGACGTGGTTGGATAGAGTTATGTCAGTAAGATTTTTCTTTTAATTATCAGTGACAGGATAGCTGATATTTATGGTCTGTGTGTCCCTCTGGTCCTTTGTCATAGTTTTTATAATATTTGCTAGCCTTTATTTTTAAGCAGTAACCTCTACAAGGAAAAAAACCCATAAATTTTCATTATCATTGATATTTACCTAGCAGCTTGAGCAATAGTGTCTAGAACTCTTAAGGTCTTTCACCTAGAAATCAAAAATGAAATTTATAGCCATACTAGGTTCAGATACCAAACTAATATGACGCCAGTTAGGTGATTTTATTCAGTGAGACCGTCACCCTGACATTTTAGAAACTAAGTCTGAAAATCGACAGTTTCTGATGAAGTAGTCAAAAAGAAAAAGCTTTTATCTCATCTTTTTTTTTTTTTTTTTTTTTTTTTTTAAGGTTACTTTTCCTGTTCTTCCATTTGATATGAAAGTGGGTCTTTTCAGTAAAAGAGTAACTGGTGTCTGAAAGTGACTCAAACACACTGGCAAATGAGTTAAGTGAACTGAAAATATATTTTTTAAATGTCACTTTTAGCTTTAGCATCTTTCTGTAACTGTACAGTATTTTTTTTTAAGAAAAATGATTTCTCAAGATTTGTATGTATCGGGAACTGTTTTTCGGGTATTTAGGAATGGGGCAGTTTTAAATCAAAGACATTTTCCTTGGAAGAATTGTGTAGGACCCTAAATATATATGGATGAAAGGCATCAAAAATAGAAGAGTATTAGATATGACAAGTTGCTCTTGTTTTGGTGGAACAGTATTTTGCCTCTTTCCTGGTATCCTTTCTGACTTGAGGAGACTGAAGTTCTCCAAAAATAAGAGGAGGAAACTGCAGGTTTGGGATGAAAGGAAAAATGGTGGAACCTGGAAAAAAGAAGTAGGGGAGTGGATGAAAGCGGAGGCCTGCAATATTAATTCAGTACAGTTCAGAGATGATACCTTTTATTAAACCAACTAAGAAATTGCAAAAAAATCATCTTTTTCTGCAAGCTTTCAGGCTCTCACGCCCTTCCTCAGGGTCAGGGAAAATAAAGATGGTAAAAAGTCCCCATATGTAGAAAATAAATATTTGCTAGAAAATAAATATTTTCTACCTATGGGGATTTTTTTACCATTTTTATTTTCCCTGAGCAAGGGCATGTGTGCCCGAAAGCTTGCTGAAAAATAATTTGTATTTTTTTGCAATTTTTTAGTTGGTCTAATAAAAGGTATCATCTCTGAACCAAGAGTTCTTTCTGAAGGCATTGCTTTTTAAATTTAGGCTGACAGATGAGCACAGTCTCATTGGAAAGTCTGGACCTGTGTGTATTTCAAAACCTTTGTATATTAAGGCAAACGTTGCTAATTAACATTAATATTGAATTAATAATCACTGATCTATAGTTTTTAATTTGACTGTAGTTTTGGGATTACAGGATTATATATCTCCATAGTGACATAGCAGTTCAAAAACTACATTTTTATAACTGACATTGATATTCTGCAGTAGTGTTCCTCTACCATCTTCAAAATATTGTAACTGTAATGGTAACAGAAATGTTGCACTGGTCATGTATAAATTCACTTTTATTTGATTTGCTTCTTTAGTCCCCGCTGATTTTTCTTAAGCTTGTCTGAATATTAGTCTTCAGTAAGATCTAGTGTCCTGGAAATGTTCAGGTTTTGAAATCTGCTGGATTGAAGTTATTAATGCTTGTTTTTTAATAGTTTATATACATATTTGTAGCAGAAAATATTACACCTAGAATATTAAATGTATATTATGTGTATATATACATACACACATGCATAATGACATTCACTAGTCAGTTTTTACTTTTGTTCCAAGCTTCCAGTAACGATCCAGCCGTCTCTAAGAATCTCAGGTATATACAAAATAATATTTGCAATTACGTAGGCTCTAATCCTGCATTCCTGGAACAGCACCTGGCCACATTTGCACAATATTATAGTTCAGCCTATACAAATCAGAAAACGAGCCTGTTTTGAGTTCTGCTCAGGGGAACAGGAGTAAAACTAATTCATTTCTACTTCTATATTGCAGGCGTTACCCCACTGTTGAAAAACGAGCCAAAACCTTCAATGGAGCAAGCTACGTAACTTTGCCTGAGGACAGCGTCTTTCTGAAGGCATTGCTTTTTGAACTTAGGCTGATGGATGAGGACAAGAACTTTGTGGACCATCGAGATAGCTGTTCTCGAATCAACAAGACTTCAGTGTATGCACTTCCCGTGGGAGGTGGAGATCTCTGGCCTGTCCTTGCCTTTCAGAAAAGCGGTTTGCTATACGTTTGTCTTCCCCTAGTTGAACAGTCCTTGAAGCCGCGCCCTCCCCTCATTAACATTAGTGGAATCTCACAAGCATTCGCTGTCTTGTCAGGATTGCTGGTCTTCATTAACTCCAGTCAGAAGAACGAAGCTGAGATAAATGCAAAAGTAGGCCAGCTTCCAAATTTGCTCATGCAAGCCTGTCCGCTTGGCACCCCATTAGACACCAATTTGAATGGCTTATTAGATAGCACCCAGATTGCTTCCACCAACCACACGCAGAAGCAACCAGTGTGGAGAGTGAGCACGTACAAAGGCAAACCTCAGGTTAACGTTTGCATCACTGAAAAAGTCAAGTCCATGCAATATGACAAAAGGGATATTGCAGACATGTGGCAGGTTTATGGAACTGTAACTTGCAAGGTGAGGATATTTCTAGGACAAATCTGCCTGACCTATTTAACACATGAATGCACTAGGGGAAAAAAAGTAGAAATTCAGCTCATTTTATCTTGGCATACAGGCAGTCAAACATAAAAGAGTGTTAATGTCTAAGAGTGTATCAGAGAAGATATTTATTAAATTAATGCTTTAGATCAGAGTAAAGAGTTTGGCTTACTGTTACTTTCTAGCATGCATTGTGCATTTTTCAGTCACTATTTTTGGATCTAAAACTGGCGCTCTCTTCCAGTAGGAACCTCATCCTATTTCACAAGACATTATTTTCGTAAGAAATAATAAAGTATACATATATAAGGATAAGGGCTGGGGAGTTGTGCTGATAAGCCAACTTTACTTCAACTAATACATATTATAGTTAATGAATCAGAATTCTTTAATATTAAAAGGTTATTTTAATAACCTTAGTACTTTAAAAATTGTGGGTTTTTTTTAATTAAATCTTACCTCTCTCTCATTTCATAGATTCATAGATGTTAGGGTTGAAAGGGACCTCAGTAGATCATTAAGTCTGACCCCTGTCCTGGGCAGGAAAGAGCACTGGGGTTAGATACCCCAGCCAGATGCATGTCTAGCCTCCTCCTAAAGACCCCCAAGTTCTTCTGCTCCTCTTAGCGTACGCGATGCTATTAGATTTAGCAAGATTGGGAATCTGGAAAAACAAAACAGTTTTAGAATTCTTTTGAATAGCTTTCATAGGTGTTTGATTTTTATTAGTAATATAATGGGGAAACATAAGTAGGTCAATCAAAATGTATGATGGAGCATGTTACAATGTGCCCTTTTAAAACTGAATCTAGTGGTTGTATTGTCTTCTCTTCATTATAAAGTGTGCTGAGGAATTGTCTGGCATTACTTTCACGAACAACTTTTTAGCTGCTTTTGTTTTATAAGGAGAGAGCAATTCCAGTGAAGTGCATGACAATAATTTAATTATTAGCAATAGCTGGTGGTATGCTCATCTTGCAGGGGGCCTGACCTAAACCTACTGCTCTTGAAGAGTTGAGGTTATTTCCTACCAGTGGTACTGGTGAGTCTTCCCTTGCTAGAGAACTTCCTGCTGTCCATGGGGATGGTTTGTGGGTCATTTTTGAGAGCGGATACATAGAAGAAAAGTACTAGTATAATCATGCTTTGCTGAGCTAGCACAAGTGAACTAGACAATAGGTGGCACAGCAGGTTCTCTCTGTGATGTAGCTGATGAGATATCTCTGTAGCCACTGACAGCATGTTTGGATCTATAAAGCACATGTAGGAGTAGCTGAATTAAATGGAGGAATAACTATTGAATGTGCTTATATGCAGTTCGTGATATAATACCAGTTACTGTGTTTGCTGTTGCATCTAGGGACTATATATCAGTTTAACAAATCTTTGTTAATAATCCGTAGGGCAGTATCAACAAAAGCTCTGAAATTGAGAAAAGGGCCCACATTTGGCCACGTTTCTGTTACTTCTCAAGTTCAGGCTACCTCAAATTTGTCAACAGGCTTTTAATGCCTCTTTCATTTTCAAATATCTGGTTTGGATTTTGGAAGTGGTCCTAGCCAACACAGTTTCTGGACTTTGTTTTTTTCCCCAGTGTGATTTAGAAGGAGCTGCATCAAATGTAACAATCAGCGTCAACCTCCCTGCCAACGGCTCTCCGCTCCAAGATATCCTGGTCCATCCCTGTGTGACCTCCCTTGACTCTGCAATTCTGACTGCTAGTAGTGTTGATGGAATGGATGACTCTGCATTCAGTGGGCCTTACAAATTTCCTTTCACTCCTCCTTCAGATGTGTTCGACTTATGCTACTATACTTCCCAGGTAATAACCTTCCCCTCTCTGCAGTCTTTGAGCTTCTGAATGAGCTTCCTTAGGAATAAAAAAAATCTTTTCTCTAGGCTGTAGAACAAGCATACACTGCCTAAAGCCATTTCTAGCACACCACTACTCCATGTAGCTCAAGTTACAGGAAGAAGCTGCCTTGCAGTGCTATTAAAATGTACACTCGTCAACATAAATGCATCATTTAAATTAAAATTATTTACTTCCTGCTCAAGCAGCTTATAGCAAACCTCTAGAAAATTATTCCTAAAATGAATCTGTCTTCCCCAGGTGCCCGTCCCACCAATTTTGGGATTTTACCAAATGAAGGAAGAAGAATCACAACTAAAATTAACAATAAATTTAAAGCTTCATGAAAGCGTGAAAAATGCTTTTGAGTATTGTGAAACACGTATACCCTTTTTTAATAGGTAAGAAGACATCCCAAATAATTTTCTCCACCTGTGCAATAACCTTAGAATGGGAACTTCAAGAATCAGTGCACCCGAGTTCACACCCCCTGAATTATGTGCCACTGGCTGCTAAACTTCACATAACCTCACATTAAGTACTCCAGAGTTTCATCTGGAATATAATGTTGGGTACTTTGGTCAGTGCCATGCCTAACAAGCAAGACAGCCACACTCTGTATCTAGGTCTGTACAGCTGCTCTGGAAGGATAACTGGAATAACTTGTTTTGAATATGCCATTTCCCTCTAGCATTTTTCATGTTAAATCTAGCAACCACCCACCTGGTGGATTAAGTCTTAAGATTGCTTCCCACCCAGGTTTTGTCATTCCTAAACACTGTTAATCCTAGTTACAGATCAACTTATCAAAAATATAGTTATTTAAAATTAAAACTACAGTGTTTGTTGTTAAGCCTGACAACTGTTCTGGCTGTATTGTAATATAGTTATTATTCAAATGTAATAATGAAAAGTGAGAGAGCCCATGACATTGATCGTAGCATTGGGAAAATGCTGTCTTTGAACTAGATGGAATAAAATCACCAAAAGGCCTATTGTATTTATGCTTTTGAAACTACGATGATCCCTTTGGTTGTAATTTCTTTCCATAAACTGGGGGTATGTTCAGTTTAGTATGATCCAGATTTGCACACCTTTAATATTGGCTTCCATTTCAACACATTAAATGCTTCTTTGAATAAAACAGATGTCACCAAATTGCTGTATATAGTGCGAATTGCAGTAGCATTTTATCCTGTTTTGTGCAATAGGGGTCCAATCACTCATTTGGAGTACAAAGTTAGCTATGGACAGCTGGATCTATCACGGGAGAAAAGCTTGCTGGTTTGGGTTATAGGTAAGCTGAATGCAGTATCTTTTTTATTGAGAGTTAATTTTGTGTACTGTTGACTCATTTTACTCAAGTTTTATTGAGGCTGTTTCTGTTTTTAGGACAAAAGTTTCCCAAATCTTTGGAAATTTCCCTTTCTGGAACAGTGACTTTTGGTTCTATTAATAAAGAGCATTCAGTTGATCCAATATGCACCGGGAACACTGCATATATAAAAGTAAGTTTTGGTCTTTACAAGAAGATGCATTAATAATCAGGTTTTTAGTTAAATTGGCAAGGTAACCACATTGATTTGCATCATCTGCTGCTATTAATGCTTTTGTTTTCTGTGTGCATTTTTCTTTATTCTTGTTTCCAGGCTACTACTTTCTATCAGTCTTATCCATTTATACACCAAGCATTTGTATAGCAGGCATGGTGAACTGTGTAGGTATCCATCACTTATCCATGAAAGAAACAATATATATTTCACCACGTTTTCTTTGTTTCTATAGCTATATTTCAGGATCCCAGATTATACCCTCACTGGATGTTATACAGACCAGCATTCTGTACAGGTCTTTTCATCAGGAAAACCAAAGATTAATACGTGTGAGTTAGTTAAAATTGTTGATTACTTAATTGAAATTGTATTGGGGGGGACTTACAAAGTACAAAGCTTAAACAACCAATGTTAAATCTTCTTGTTTTATTGAATAGTTTTCAATTGTTTATAGAAAATTTCTATGTAAACTTTTATTGTTTTGCAAAACGTTTTTTTTCTGCAAACTTCAACATTAAACCTTTTAAGTCAAATGTTCTGGTTGAGAATGTAAGCCTGGTTGAGCCTGACAAGATTACTTACTAGAGGAATATACCGGTAGATGGTAACTTGGGCAGCAGCAACCATGAGATGATTGTGTTCAGGATCCTGAGGAAAGGAAAGATCTAGAGCAGCAGAGTAAGGACCTTGGACTTCAGAAAAAAAGACTTTGACTCACTCAGGGAACTCATGGGCAGGATCCCCTAGGAATCCAGTCTGAGGGAGAAAGGAGTCCAGGAGAGCGGCTGTACTTTTAAAGAAGCCTGAATGAGAGTGCACGGACAAACCATCCCGATGTGCAGGAAGACTAGCAAGTACGGCAGAAGACCAGCTTGGCTTAGCAGGGATCTCTTCACTAAATTAAATCACAAAAAGGAAGCTTATAAGACGTGGAAACTTGGACAAATAACTAGGGAGGAGTAGAAAATATATTGTTCAGGCATGCAAGGATGAAGTCAGGAAGGACAAAGCACAATTGGAGTTGCAGCTAGCAAGGGACATGAAGGGAAATGAGAAGGGTTCTACAAGTGTGTCAGCAACAAGAGGAAAATCAGGGAAAGTGTAGGTCCTTTACTTAATGGGGGAGGCAGCCTTGTGACAGAGGATGCAGGAAAGGCTGAAGTGCTTAATGCCTTTTTCACCTCAGTCTTCACAGGCAAGGTCATCTCCCAGAGCTCAGCACTGGTCAGCACAGTTTGGGGAGGAGGTGAGCAGCCCTCAGCGGTGAAAGAACAGGTTAGGGACTATTTAGAACAACTGGACATGTACAAGTCCATGGGGCTGGATGGGATGCACCCGACGGTGTTGGGGGAGTTGGCTGGTGTGATTGCAGAGCCGTTGGCCATCATCTTTCAAAACTCATAGTAATCAGGAGAGGTCCTGGATGATTGGAAAAGGGCAAACATAGTACCCATATTTAAGAAAGGGGAAAAAGGAGGATCCAGGGAACTAGAGACCAGTCAGCCTCACCTCACTCCCTGGAAAAATCATGGAGCAGGTCCTCAAGGAATCCATTTCTAAGCACTTCGAGGAGAAGGTGATTAGGGGCAGTCAGCAGGGATTCACCAAGGGCAAGTCATGCCTGACCAACCTGATTGCCTTCTATGACAAGGTGACTGGCTGTGGATGTGGGCAAATGAGTGGATGTGGTGCATCTTGATTTTTAGAAACGTTCTTCATATGGTCTCCCACAGCATTCTCACAGGTAAGCTAAGGGCGTACAGGCTGGATGAATGGACTATAAGGTGGATAAAAAACTGGCTGAAGCATCAGGCTCGGAGGGTAGTAATCAGTGATTCAATAGCTATTGGCAGTTGGTATCAAATGGAGTGCCCAGGGTCAATCCTGGGGCCAGTTTTGTTCAATATCTTCATCAGTGACCTGGATGATGGCATCCAGCAAGTCTGCAGATGACACTATGCTGGGAGGAGTAGTAGATATACTAGAGGGTAGGGCTAGGATTCAGAGTGACCTAGACAAATTGGAGGATTGGGCCAAAAGGAGTCTCATGAGGTTCAACAAGGACAAGTGCAAGCCCTGCACTTAGGACGGAGCAATCCCATGCACCAGTACAGGCTGGGGGTGACTGGCTGGACAGCAGCTCTACAGAAAAGGACCTGGGGGTTACAGTGGACAATAAGCTGAAGATGAGCCAACAGTGTGCCCCAGTTGCCAAGAAGGCTGACATCATCCTGGGCTGCATTGGTAGGAGCGTTGCCAATAGTTCAAGGGAAGTGATTACTCCCCTCTATTCAGCAGTGGTGAGGCTACATATGGAGTCCTGTGCCCAGTTTTGGACCCCCCACTACAGAAAGGATGTGGACAAATTGGAGAGAGTCCAGTGGAAGGCAACAAAAATGGTGAGAAGCCTGGGGGACATGACTTATGAGGAGAGGCTGAAGGACCTGGGCTTATTTAGTCTGGAGAAGAGAAGACTGAGAGGAGATTTAATAGCAGCCTTCAACTACCCGAAGGGCAGTTCCAAAGAGGATGGAGCTGGACTGTTCTCAGTGGTGGCAGATGACGGAACAAGGAGCAATGGTTTCAAGTTGCAGCAAGGGAAGTTTAGGTTAGATATTAGGAAGAATTTTTTAGCTAGGAGGGTAGTAATGCACTGGAACAGGCTACCCAGGGAGGTTGAATCTCCATCCTTGGAGGTTTTTAAGACCTAGCTAGACAAAGCCTTGGCTGGGATGATCTAGTTGGGGCTAGGCCTGTTTTGAGAAGGGGGTTGGACTAGATGACCTCCTGAGGTCCCTTCCAACCCTCATTTTCTATGACTCTATGATTTACACGGTAATTAGAAATATTTTACCTGCTCTTACAGCAAACATCACAGTCTTCTGACCTATTACAGGCTATATTTATCCATCATGATCTTAGGCTACCTGCTGTACTTAACTCCTACCTTCAATGAGGTCTGTTTAAAACTTTTTTGTAGTATGCACCTTCTCCAAACAATACTTCAGGACAGGAAGCTAAATGGTTGTTAAATGGTTTCTTTTCTCTAGGTACCTCTTTGATCACCATTATCATAGCATTTGAGCATCTCGCACTTTTGAATGTAAATCTGCTCAATACCCCACTGTGTTAGTAAAATGCCATTATGCTTTTTGTGCGGATGAGGAAATTGAAGGAAGAGGGGCAGTGAAACTGGCCTAAGGTCACAGGAGTCTATATATTACCAGAGCCTGCTGAGTTCAAGGCTAGTGCTTTAACCACTGCAGCATTCTTCACAAGTAGTCAAACGCATACGATTCCTGAATTTTCACCAATAGAGTACTACTGTAATGCACATATTTGATTCCTGTTAAGTGTGAGCAGCCGTGGCTAATAAAGGCACTTACCTTGCCTGCTTTCGAAGTTTTGTAACTTGTTGCAACTATATCCACAGAAGTTTGAGAATTCCTCCTGGAAACTCTGCTGCCTTGCTGTTTGTGGTCTGACAAGTCAAATTCAGTCATAAATTGCAACACAGCATCTTATTTTTCCTACTGCATGTACTTATGTTGAGCATGCAATTTATATTCATTGAACAAAATCCAAACCGCATACCTGCTTTTGCGTTAACCCCTGTTTGAATGATCAACTGATGACTGATATATTAGTAAAGGTGACTGAAGCTGAGACTTTAAATGACTCATTATTATTGTTTGAAAATAATAATATGGGTATTACATTTTAAAGAGACTGTTACGCTTTTTTGTAAATTTGTCAGAATGGATTAGTAGTCTCTTAATTGGGTTCAAGGAATGTCATAGTGTAAGCTGCTGCATCATGATGCTTATTTTCTGCCTTTTTTTTTTTAGCCCGGGAATTGATTTCTTCAGATTACTACATCTGGAATTCCAAAGCAGCAGCACCTGTAGTGTACAGGACTTTATTTTTCTAATTTCCCAGTGAAAGATTTTGTATCAGAACAGAAATGACAGTGAATGAAAGTAATGTTAACACAGTAAAAAATAAATTTGCTATAGTATTTTTAATTTGTCTACTTGTAGTTAAGTACTTGTTGGTTTTTTTGGAAGACTTATGAATTGAATTAACATTTGTTTACTTTACACATTTTAGTCATAGATAC